GATCTTCTGACTTTGGAGTGTCTTAGTCATCCCCATCGCTGTTTTCTACAGCTGATCAGAAAGCTTTTCTGTGTTACTGATGTGCCAGTGAGACATGGAGGTTGCCGAACAAGTGACCTACGTTGTGTCAGTAATCAATAACATGAGACTTGCGCTCACAAAGTGGGTTAGGTTTGAACATGAGTGTCTTCTGCATGCAGCGTTTTGTTGACATTTTCATGGGTGATTTGAGAATTGTTTGGGAGCCAGGAATCTCAGATGGATTTTCAAGTGCGCCATCAGCCTGACTAGGTGGATTCATATACCCTAATTTTTGATCATCCGGTTTTGGTCCATGTCAGTTAGGAGGCCAGTCTTTATCTACAATCACTTATGAGGCAGTTTGGCTCCTTTTGGACTCAGAGCAGAAGACGATAGTGTTATTGGAGTCATTCTCACAGTGCTTTGAGTATAGAAATCAATGAGCTCAGTTGGGTAAATAGGTATGGTTTCAGAAATCCCTTCAGCTGAACAAAGAGTACATCATCTTTAGGGCTCCTTTGGCTTTTGTTAAGATTTTTGAAATTCACTGGAGTGATGTACCAAGGTTCACTTGTTTCAGCAACGAAGAAATAACACTGACACGGGTCATCTTCTGTCAGCTGGATGCAGGTAGTTTCAAAATGTCAGTATATTGGGTTTGCGTGACAAGGTTTTAGTAGTGGGGGGGGCTACAGGGGTGGCTTCTGTGAAAAGCTGCTAGAAGCTTCCCCTGTGTATGATAGAGCCCGTCCCAGCCAGCTCCAAGAGGGCCCCGCCTCTGGCCAAGGCCGAGCCCATTAGTGACAGTGGTAGCACCTCTGTGATAACATGTTTAAGAAGGGGGAAAAAACTGTGGCAAAAACAGCAGCAGAGAGAGGAGTGAGAATATGTGCAAGAAAACTCTGCAGACACCCAGGTCAGTGAAGAAGGAGGGGGAGGAGGTGCTCCAGGTGCTGGAGCGGAGATTCCCCTGCAGCCCATGGTGAAGAC